ATATATATAACTGGACGAACCTTATGGTTGTACGGCAGTGAAGCGTCAGTGCCAACACTGATGTTGCTGTCTTTGATGATGATGATCGGGCCGGTCAATGGTTGTTTCGCTGGTCAAATGAAAGTGGTCATTCTCTCAACTTCTCCTTTGTATTTGTTCGACAAGATCATGTCGTAAAAGCACGCAACTCTTGGTACACTTGCCAGAATTGGTGCACTTTATTTGGCTCGCTGTCTTTCGTATTCTGTGATGGTCCATCTTGATGTGACAGTTTTTTTAGGGTTTCACGCATCTGACTGTGGGGATCAGATTTCAAGATGAAGAGCTGTGTGCAGCTGATAGTTTTTATCGGAGACTCGTTGTGGGCTACATTTTGATAGTTGATGGAAAAATAAACGATTTACTCATTTAGTGGTCTACTCGTGGGGACCGATGTTTATTCCATAGCTGAGCCTTTCTCATCATTGTCTGCTTGTGATGATGTCTTCCCCATAGCCGTTTTCTGTCATGTCACCTTTGTACACATCAATCAACATGTCCTGTTGCTTCTCGTAGATCAGGAGGTTCTCAGCTTGTTTTTTTCAACTAAGAAAGTCTTCCAGGAGGCAGTTTTGTTTTCCTGAACTCTCCTGATTGAAACCGACAATGTGATTGGAATAACGGGATTGGAAACAAGTGCTGCAAGTCTACAAGTGTGGTTGTAGACCGTGGTATATTGTCCTATTGCTCCATGACCAAGAATAGTTCTCGATCTGAAGTTTGTCCGCAAACCTGTTTCTCCATAAGTCGTCTTGCTACCTATTCGGAGCCCCCACGATATCACTTTGGCTACTGGAACGACTCTGAAAGGCAAACAGCCGATACTAGATCGGTTTGTCTTTACCGAGTATGTGCTTTTCTTTGAACAGAGCAGATTGCGTATTCGTTTCAGATGAATATGTCTGAGGTGAATTAGCTTTTTGTTCACTTAAAGCTACTCGTGTAACATTCCAAACCCAAATCATTTATTCTCACTTTTTTGAAATTTGTTGTTACCTAGGCGCAATAATTTTCGTCTATTATCGGTTTACGATCCATTCGAAGCCACTTTGATGCAACTGTAGCCTCCCTGGAGCGACAAGGATGTGCGAACATATACTTCACTCCCCTCACCGGTTTTGACTAATGTGAATGACTTCCAGATATGCCTCAAAATTATCCAACATACTTAAAGTCTAGCTAACTTCTTCTGTCTGGAGCTGTTTCTTCGAAGACCAGAGAAATATATAAATATATGTACTGTAGCAAAAGAACCGACATCATTCGAGCACTCTTTTCAACCGCAATATGAAAAGGCGTCGAACTCCCCAGGTGAAATCCAAAGTTTCAACGTGGTATGAGTTTATGGATCAAAATAGGCGCAACAGGAGAAAGCGGGGACCCAGTACCTGATATAAACGGTCGTCATTCAGTGCCGAAACAGGAGTGGATTAGATTGTCGTTGAATTTATGTCCAGGCACTATAGACAGGTGTATAATACGGTCTGCCACATGTCCGTGGGCTTGTTGGTTTCACATTTAACCTTGAATCCGTTTCGTTGTAAACGCTTCAGTTCCACTCCTCAACCCGTTGATTTGCCTTGCAGATATTCAAGATGTACGAGAAAGAATGCCAAGAGATGCAACGTCTTGAACTTCTCCGTGCCCACGAACACCTCTGTCGGCAAAATACAGGGACCAATCGTCGTTCCGCCTCCGTCTCTTACTCAACAGGTGACTTGGGCACAGTTCATAGTGAGCCATCTTTTATGGGGCTCAATCCTACAGAACCTGGAAACGTGGACGACAGCTCTGTCGGTGCGTAATTCATCTGTTCTGCACTTGTCAGTACTCTCCGGTTTCGTATTCTGAATACAGTGTGCAAAATTTTACCAAGGTCATCGGTTTCTTGATCTACTCCCCTCCCGTTCACCTAATATATTCAGATTTTTAACAAGTATCACTCAAGTTAGCTGTCCACCCAATTGGTGAATTCTTATTTTTTCCGTACACACAGAACTCCCTCAGCATCATGTTGAGTGATGAGCGGGGAAGGGGGGTTGCGAAACACAATTAGGGCCAATACAACCTAAGTGTTATGTCCTAAGAAGTAACACCGTTATTTTGTTTCGTCTATCCGCGTAAATGAAGATTCACACCATGAAGGGCGTCAGTTGCCATGGCTTCCTTCTACGTTTCCTGTGGAAGCCTAGCCATATGGACTGTCCAGGATGCACATTTTAGCATCACTGAACGCCACTGACTTCGGTTACTAATTCCATAACCTTTCATTGGTTTGACTGTATGCCTCCTGGGTATTCAGATGAACGGGGTTCCATATGTTCGTGTGTTCCAAACATGGATGGCCTTGGGGACACGTACGTATCGCTTATTGATTGACCGTCTATAGCTCTAAACCACTTCTGCTCCGCATTTGCTTGAAGCGTTTACGCTAAACACTGGTCTTCCCGGTGTTCCAGTCAAACAGACTGATCAAAAAATGGTTCATCAAACATTCGGATCAAGCTAATTTCATCGCACTGTATTAATCAATCGGACATCCCTGTAGATAGAGTAACGAAGACTCCCGTGCCCCTATTCAATTGAATCAACTAAACAATTACATGAATTAGCGAGCACTAAACACTGTCAGAAACTTTGCAAATGTGATTTCATGAGCACCGCGCATTTTGTGCCAGAGAGAGAGAGCGGAGAAACCCTAGTGATGAATTTTCCATGGTACACCTCTGGTTCGAACTCGTGCCCTTTGTCGCCTACTACTAATACAGTCATGTGGCCTCTTTCACATCATCCTCTCCTTGTGACAGGCTCAAAATCGACTCCGCTGCACTGTGGAGTTCGCGAGTCTTACATGGCACACAAACGTTCGAGCAGTTCGACGGCTGCTTGCTTTGGATTTCACACAACCGACCCCGTGCAAACCGCAAAAAGCGAGACAGACTCGGGTTTGTTGTTGGTCGCCGGTAGCGGGGAGGAACCGATTGCAGACGATCCTTCTACGACGGGCCCTCGAAGAGAAGCTGGTCAGGAAACCTCGTCCGATTGCGCTGTCCAGGCTCCTATAAAACGCCTAAGTGCGACGGGTTAGTTATTCTTTTTTTCTGTAAGCTCACGTGTAAAACTTCCGGTTGTAAACTCCACAGTCGTTGTATGATGTGTATGCACATTTTTCCGTGTTTAGATGCGATATATGTACAATTAACCTTTGATTTCCGTGTTTTTATCACAGGCGGATCAGCTCCCCTAGCTTCCTCCGATGACCTCGCGGATTTGGGCTATTCAACATTGCAACGACCACCGGGTTCGATAAGCAACTTTGTGCCTACCACCACCACCACCACCACGACACAGCTGCCTACATCTTGCGAGGTCCAAGAGAATGTCGAAGCACTGAACTCCCAAACCAGCCCGTCTCGTATCCCCAATCAACGATCGCAAGGTTTGTGACGTTTCGGGTGTATTAGATTCCACGTTCGACTGATGTTTGCCGAAAAAGCACTAACTTTTCCTGACTAAGTCTTCAACTAATGACAGGTCATTCCAACAAGTTGAATCCACAACATTTTCTCCTTTCGGGCCGATCAACCAGCCAACATTCATGTCCAACTCAATCACAGTCTTGTTATTGATTCAAATTCTGTCCCCCCACTGAGTTTTCGTGTTCTCTCCCCTAGCTACCGTTGTTTGGTCATTTTAGTTCAAAGCGTTCTTCCCAGTCGAGTGCATTGAGCGATTGAATCTGGCCTTCGCAGTACTCTGTCTTCAGTTGAATTCATGCTGTCTCATTTCTATACTCTGTCGCCCGACCTGTCGGACAATTATTTTCCGATAGAAAAGTCATTCTTTAAAGCTACGAAAAACGAGGACATAAATGTGTGTTACATCTACCTTCTGTCTCCCGCTTCAGAGCCTTGATGTCACGAAAAGACTCGCCAACAAGTAGACAACAGCCTTATTCCGAACAGCGAGTGCAACAGGCGCCTTGCGCTATTTTTGAATTGCACTTTTTATCGATCCAGGCTGTTGCTGAATTGATTTATTGATTGACTGACTGGCCTGCATGCTTCCCTATTGAGATTTTGGTGGAGTTTGAGGGTTCCAAGTAGGTTTCGGGGATCATTTTCAGGAATCCGACCTTCCTGGAAGTGTGAAAACACGAAAGGAGATCAGTAAATTTGCAAATTGTATTGATATTTATGGGGCCCTGCAACTGAATGTGCTGCACAGGTGTTGCCTCTATTTGTACACCCGCTGATTACTGGGAAGCACTGTCTTTGGGTCCTCACCGAAGCTAATTCTCTCCAGATAAGTTGGGTGGGTACCGGTTTTGTTTACTGTAAGGAACTAATGTCTCAAAGCAGACGGTGAGCTATTCCGCCCACCGTTGCTCACGACACTCGAGGTCCTGTATGAGACATGGAAACGATGGTCAACGTTGACTTTTATGCAGACGAAACTACTTGTAGCAGTGACATTAAACTCTCGGACTTGTCTTCCCTAACTACACGACTTCAACGCGCAAAATTCAGCAACGCCTGATTGTTCATCTGCCGAATGGTTGGATGACAGAATCATGTGAGAATCACGTTTGTTTGATGTAGAGCTAGTGTCTATGCAGTAAGCGGTAGGTCTAGGGGTCGATTTTTGTCTTGGCCGTCATTAACTTTCATCAGCCATCCAGCACCATACTGTTTTCGTCTTTTCATCGCCGCTTGATACCGCATCGCCATGCTGCAACGTTCCAGTTTCTACCGAGACTTTTCATGTCGGCCTCGTGTTTGGTTTCGCCTCTCTTACCTAGAGGTGATTGAAATCACGACAGGTTGTCATATGGTCATCTTGATATCAGCCACGACCGGTAATCATCTATTTGAAGATGGACCGCAGAAAAGGTCGAGGTTGACCGGAGTGATGGGTGTTAGTAGTCTGTCCTTGCCTTGAAGGATACTATGTTCCCGATCCTATAAGCTTAAAGCTCTCAATGCAGCAGATGGGTCTCACACTTGGCAGAAGCATTTTTCATCTGTTTGGATATCTTTATTGTTTTGCGGCCCAGTTGTACTTCGTTGTACTATGTACTACTCGAAAATTATTTCACGTTCATTTCCCCCTAAAGTCGCATCGAATGGTTTCATGGAACCACTGCAAAAGCCTCCACAATCCACTTGGTTCGAATCGGAACCACTGCAGTCTTCAGAACTACGACCAAACCATCTGACGAGTGGTCGAAAGCACATTGTTGTCGCCCAAAGTCGCCGCAGTTCCAATAGTGGGGAGAGTTCGGACAGCAGTGAGGGCAGTGAATCCAGCGAGGAAAAAAGCCAACCCACAGGGGGGAGTTGCTTGCCCAAATATCGCTCTGGGGATACTCAACAACCTCGGCCCATCAATCTGAGACTCAACAGTACCGAGCAGACCACAGTTTGCTACCCATCTGGTCAGTCAGATTCCATTTCAAGGGATAAATCCTCGACATCAGGCAGTGGGTTGACGGAGCACACAAACGATGCCGGACAGAAACCTCGTGGTTCATTGGACTATTTGAATGATATGTTCACATCTCTGGGAACGTAAGTGCCTGTTTTACTTCGACTAACTCGTTGATCACCCATCAAACTTTTAAAGAGGTAGTTTCGGTTTCGGGTGATGGTAGGCCAATTCGCAAAGGCCAGTCCATCCTCCGCCAAACCTACTTCTCAAGAAACGCCATTTTCGTCAAATACTGAACCTTTTTGTGTCTCTGGATTTTCATTGGTGTTAACTGCAGTCCTCTCGGTTGAGAATAGTTAAACGCACTTGATTGAGTGATTGATACTTGGTTCTGATCAACTTCCATCATCGGTTTGTCCCCACACTTAATCCGATGTAAGTTTGACAGTCCTAGCAGGTTGGTTGTTGGTCTGTTCGCTGAGCTTGGCAGTTGGATTGCTTGGTACTTTGAGCCGACATGGTAGGCTAATCACGTCTGAACCAAAACGAGACATCTACGTTTCCTTATAGACGTCTGTTCACAGGGGACTTTTCCTCCAAGGTTCTTTTGACTTGTTCCTTCTAAGCGGAGATGTACCTGAGATGTAGACTTACTGGCTGTCCTGTTGAGTTTCCGAATCTTTCGTCACAGATTGTCGGCCGCGAGACTAACAATAACTGCGCTGATAGAAAGAATCGCAACGAATCTCATGCCTGTGCACAAGATTTCGAGCAACTTTCCTCCCAAATCCTATTCGACTGACGGTTTGCCCTCTGACCTATTCAGTGCGCTCGATTCGAACGTACGCACAAAAAGGCGTATTTATTAAAACCGCCACCTTATGGAGGAACTTTGTTGCCGAGCTTGGAAATTCTGTTAGTAGGACGGATATGTAAGCGCAGTCTGTGCGATAATCTCCAGCCTCGTTCCAGACTTCCGCCAAAATCTGTCATCTCTTTTCTGCATGTGCTCATTCGTACGCCAGTGCAGTCGGGTTTCCTGAGTACAAGCATAGTTCAAGTGTGATTGCATTGCATCTAACATGAAAAGCTTCGACAGTTGGCACTTTGGAACCAGTCACGATCGGTACGATTCAGGTTGTGGTCGGTCGCAGAGGCTATCGAAATCGGGTCAATAGACTTATAAGTTTGTTGAAAAGAAACCTGTGACTCGCGTCGGCCTACAATCGATCTGAAGTTCATACTTTATTTGTCTATGGCCTAATCCGTAATCGGCCCAATGAACTAGTGACCTTTCACATGGTTACTCGTGAGAGTACTTAATCACACAAGTGATGTCCAACTAGTATCATGTCGTGAGGATTTGTGGTATCTTTTTCTAACCTGTTTTTGCGCAGTTCGACAAACAGCAAAACGAAATTGCACAGATTCAACATCCTCACGATGGTATGCTCACCACAGAATTGGTCCAATCAGGCAAGATCATATCGATAGATGCACGTGAGCATATCCCTTGCAATTCAAGGAGAATCACCGGGTGTGGAAAACTTGGATGGCATCAAAAAGGCATATCGCCGGATCTCAAAAGGTGTCTGTATCAGTATGGGTTGTATGGTTGTATGGCTACGAGACTTGTCCCCTTCAGAGAAGGATCTGGGATATCTAAGGTCTTTGACCAGAACTATGGATGAAATTCGCTGGAATCAACGAATCCGGAACAAGGTGATCAAATCATAGGGTTTTGGGTGAAGCGGACGGTAATTCACTCGAAGGATGCACCTAATATTGTGAGCTCAGGTGGCTGGGCCATGTGTTAGGTACACCGAGTTACTACCTGTCGAGACGAGAACTGCTTTCCGTGACTATTTCGACGTCGCGGAAACCTAGAATTGGAGAATTTGGCAGAATAGAATGAAGAATACTACAAAAAGTTTGGTTGTTATTGGTATCGTTCCGCTTCCAGGCTGAGGCCCATATGACCGTCCTCCTGTTTGGCTGGGAACACTGAAAAGTGTTGCGGCTAACCGATGGAGTGGCGTTCAAACCATTAATTTCTATCCAGACTGTCTGAGTGAGCGCTAGAGGTGTAAGCACCTCGGGTGTTCGATGCAAGGCTCTCAGTTATATCGAAACCCCATTTTTCTCCAGTGGAGTACACCGACATGGTTGTACGGCGGCGAAGCATCAGTGCCAACACTGATGTCGCTGTCTTTGATGATTATGATAACATGTTTACTGGCAACAAGTGCCCCTTCGATTTGAAACCAATTCCGGAGTCATCTTTTCAAAGACACTTTCTATAGGATTTACACTTCACAGTGCTACCAAAAGCAGTTCACTGAACGTGGACTTTTAGTTTCATGTGTCACAAATAGTTCCAGTGCTTTTGACAAGTATTTTGTGATTAAATGGGCTAAATTCGAGTCAGATGGAGCGGAAGGACATTGTCACTTACCCGGAGCGAAGAATCTGTTTGGAAGAGCGGTTCATCCATAGATTTTCGGAGCAGTAGTTAGTGATGGAACAATTCAGCTGTGGTGACCATGGTCACCGGTAATGTAGCACGAGTAAGCTTGCCTCAATGAGTCTGCAACGAAGTGGTGCGTAAGGAATTACTTGGTAATGAGCCCGATTCGTTGCAACTGCAGATTAAACTTACAAGGCTCAGTGCGCCACCTATACTCAACCATCGTCTACCGTTATTTTCCGATCCGAGCGACTTTTGGCACGAAAGGTTCGCAGGGGACGGACCATATTATGACAGAATGGAGTCAAGTGGCTACTGTCAAACTGAGTTCTGTGGGATCTTGGTGCCCCTCTAGATCCTGTTTGCAAGTGATTACAGCTCAGCTGATCCCAGTTCCGCGCATGTTGTCATTCTTCAGTTGGACTGCTCAGCTAAGTTAACTTGTCGTTTTGCTCTCGACCCATGTTGGCTGAGGCTCGCAAAGACCGCTAGATTGATCCCGCTGAGACTCTATTCCCCCATGGCTGTATCGTTGTCAATGCTGATAACCGTACTGGTGGCAGCGAAGCCCAACAAGGCTTCGGTTTTGCCCCTTTTAAGTAAACATCTTACCGTCTGTAGTCGCGTTCATACAGATTATCTGGGATGGATGACAATGGCTTCATTGATAGGAGTCGTTGTCACTGCTTCCACAACTCATGAGAGCATTGCGAGGAATAAAAACTGGGTGTAGGTTTGTTTTGTGTTTGAATATCGAGCCACTTCAACGGAAACGGTGGGTCGTTGAATCTTAGAATCATAGTGGACTTGCTAAGGGGAATTAAATCGGGCACCTTGAGGCCGCTGGGGTTCAGAGATATTTGCGATACGTTGTTAAAACTTGGGGGGTTGTCGTACTTGCGAATAAGCGTGACCTCTAACTTGTGTCCTCGAATCCCGTCATTCTAATTCTTACGACAGAGTCATACAAGTAATGCCTAGTTGGAATGAAAACTACCGAAGGTGACATTTATATGGATGTCACGGTCGTGGAACCTCATCAAGTGTCCGATTGGTTTCAGATTCTTCAAAATATACGCCCCGCTAGCCAACTTACAAGTTGTCTGTCCTAATGTGTACTTCTCATGTCAGCTGTGTGCCAGTCAGACAGTTGCTGCAAGTAACTGTAAAAGGCCTAGTAGCATCACTCCTCCTGGTCTGCGACCTCCTTGGGAGGTGAGTCAAATCGAACCCACCACCCAATGCAGAAACCATCTACGATCAGTAAAAAGTGTTTCAAACGGCCATGGCACCACTGGACTGAGAAGTCCAGTCAGGCGAGTCAATCGATCCACTCAACCAGGGATATTCAAGTGGTTTGGCAAACTAGTCAGATCGTCGAAGTGCGAACACGTGATTATGCACGTGCGTCCGGCTTGCGCTGGTAACGCGGGTGCCCTGCATTTTGGGTGTCCGTAGTTCAAATCCGGAGCCGGAGTCCACTGTTTGGTGGGGAGGAGGGTGATCTGGGCGCAACTTATACACATCGCGCAACCATCTGAAACCAAACTGGGCTCTCGGCAAGTAATTTGTATTCAACATGAATTAGGTTGAACTTAGCACCTCGTTCGAGTGAGCAGTGTCTGCTCTCCAGGTGGGATACGTGAAACCTGTCTTCTTCCCTAGGTTGACCTCATGTCCATGCAAGGTCTGCATGTATCATCATCATCGTCATCGACAGCATGATATCAGTATCCGACACCGATGCTTCACTGCCGTAAAAATCGTTCAGTTGTAACGCCCTTCTGGTGCCTAGCTGTCATGCCACCCGAAGGAAGCACGAGGGCTGAGATACTACCAGGTTGCCTAAGCCTAGACAGGGGAAGTCGAGAGGCAGAGGTCGAATTCGAACCACTGACCTTCCGGTCAGTAAATTCGCGCTCCAATCACTTGACCCATCTCGCCCAGGTCACTGATTAAATCACTGACTTACACACTGAACTGATTTTGAGCCTGGACTAACTCATGTTAATGTTCTTATCTTACCAACACATTCTGTTTGTTTTAACCGATAACACGTTGACCTTTTACTTTAATTTACTCCATCTTCTTACGCATCCTTTGTATATTTTGACCTATACTTTAAAACTCCAGTTTCATTCAAACCTAGCATAGACTAGGACTTTTACAGTAACGAATTCGGATAAAACTTCTCTATCCTCTATTTTCAGGTCGGATATCACTTCAAAAATGATGGAGTCATTCCGCGGCTGGTTTTCCCCCGGTCAGAAATACGCCTCCACCACAGAGAATACTCCTCAATCGAAACGGCGAATTTTTCCGGGAAATTTGAACCTTTTCTCGACACCCAACAGTGCCAGACTCCCAAGGAATATGAGACGCTGGCAGGTGAAAAACCAAGGAGTTGCGGACGGGTCAACTTTGAAGAACGGTGAACATGGCGACGAGGAGGAGATGAATGACCACGTGTATCCAAATGAACAACCGATCAATATGACTGCTATCTCGCAGGCGGCACTTCATGGAGATGGTGAGAACAGGGTGTCTTTTTGCCCGAAAAAAAAACAGCAGTACAAGATTTCTTCACAAAGGAAACTAATTAAAAGGTTGCCGAAAACTCTTCGACAGCCCACGACCGGCGGTACAAGATGTTAATGTCTAGGAACGCTCTTACTTCACTTTCGTCTTTTATCGTGAGGGTTGATTTTGTTTAAGAAGCGAGCGCTCTCGTTCTTTCCCAAATCTACTGCTTTCCTGTAAGCAATAGCACTACGATACTCTTGTTCCGATCATAATTGACTTAAAACGCTGTGTTCATCCTGTCATTGATCTGGATCCTCATCTTCGTCGAGGCGCATCGTTATTGTTTTCCACGTGTACTCCTTCCAGTAACCTGTGATCGAATCGCCCCGCCTCCACCTACTACTATCACTCCTAAAGTAGTCGTGTACTACTCTATTTACAAGGAAACTGTACTCAGTTACGTTGTTCCACCAACCTACAATGAGACTGAAACTGAATATGGTATTCACGGCTCGTCATGGACTCAGTCGTGTGTAGCCAAACCACCTCAGAATAGCCAGTGATTCCGTGCCGTATAGTTTTTTTTTAATGGCGAGACGTCCGGATAATGTCATCCTGTCCTCACAATTTTTGATTTCGCAGATCTAGTGGCGCTGCAGTTTCATCGCGAGCTCTGGTATCGTATTGGTGGAACTATGGTTATTGGGACGCCGTTTCAACGACTCTACCCCGCCTCTCTCTCCACCTACCTTTCGGGACGGCTCGGTCAGTCGTCAGTGGCAGGCAATCCAAACAGGCTAAGCCAATCTCCTATGCTCAGAACTCGGGGGCCAATCCGACCGAATCGATCACCGTCATCTAACCCAGGTTGGTTATGGTGTAACTATCTATCTCGCAGTTTAGACTGCGTGCGTGTCCAATCGAATAATGTCTTTTCACTGTCGTTTGTTTCACCAGACACTATTCCTCAATACCAAATAGATGTGCGTAGTTCGACTGAAATTCCATCTGATTTGTTGAGTTCTCCAACACGTTAGCCATTGCTATCATTTTGACGTGTGTGCGTTCTCGCACCTCTTTTCGATCTCTACGTTGTCCACCTAAGCTCTCATCCCTTGGCCGGCCGTTTTTGATGTGAGTGTTTCGAGGTTTTTTGAGTTTCTATCCACATCACTCTCGTTTTTGAGTAGTCTTACTTTTGTCTTGGAAGGTTCGAACCAAGTGCGGGGGGCACGGGGTTTCTGCTTAGCTCTTATTTGTAGTAACGGTATTTTTCCCAGTTTAGTTCTCGGTCGGAGCATCCCAAGCTAGCGTTCACGTCAAAACAACTACCAAAGCTTCACAAGGTACATTGACGCTTAAAACGAAGTCAGGAACACTTGTACAACAACCTTGTGGAAATTCTGATGCGTTTTGGATGCGCCACTGGCAACAGGTATTCGGCCAATACTGCGTCATGATTGGCTGCTGGGTCCAGATTTTCGACCAATCAGATCTCGCGATGATGCCGGACCGGCATTTGTCCCGAATTCTTTTCCAATCTTGCGTGGGATGAACTTCTCGGCCGTAACAGCACCTCAGTGCGAGCGGTAAAGAGGGATATGTATGGAGTTCCGCCTAACATTATCCAAATTCGTAGACAGTGCACGTACTTGGCCGTAGAAAGATTTGAACTCCTGGTGTCTGACGTCCGAGGCAAGTGTGTTACCACCACTCCACCAACGAGCCTGGACAATCACAGTTGAGCAGGTAAACATGTGCACAGTTCGACCGACGCCCCAAACGATGGCCAAATGCTGCATGACGACCCGTCTGTTAAGACCTCGTGATCAGCCAGCGCCACACACTTTGAATCTTTCGGTCAGCCTGCGGCTGTTATGCCGGGTGGACTGTCGGACTCTTGGCGTCAGGTGCATCCGTAAAATATCTTCAACCCTGATAGTGCCTGCAACTGGTAGCGTTTTTCTTCACTTCGACGCAATTCGACCTATTTGTCCTTTGTAGACAACCGTATTATAGGGTAAAACCGTTATTTTGCTGTCTGTGAGTTAAACCACTTTCACGTCTTATCCCTTTTTTGCCCATTGTTTTCAGATATATGTGATACACCTTCCAGTCAGGTACTAGCCGGTAGCTCTCTCAATCCTGGTGGGCGGACTTGTACAGAACCAAACCTGACCTCATTGCAATCCCCTGAAGTGGTTCAGCTACACATCTTCTTGACCACATGCAACGCCTGCCCTAACTGCAAAACATTCGTGCATGATGAAGAAATTATGGCCGCCTGGTCTGCCGATGAGGACGAGCGAAATATCCGCTGTCCTTTTTGCGAGGAGGAGTTTGGACCACAACTCACGGTCCGTGTGCTCGGCGATATCGGTCAACAACCATCTTCGCCTTCCACGAAACAGCCCACCCCGGTTGGTGACTTTTCGCCCACAGTCGGCCAATCAGCCGGTGACACAATGAGGTACCAATTTACCCGTTTTGGTTTTTTCTTTGTGTTCCGGGTCGTCAGTTTTCTACAGTACAAACTTGTCCATTCAAGTCACAGTTGAGTTGGCGTTGTAGAGGCCACGCCTTCTCAAAGCAACAGATCTTCACAGACCAATAGCATAAGCAAACATTCTTTCAAGTAGATCATAAGGTTGACGGAAACTCGGGGACTGCGCCTACCGAGCGAGCCCGCCCCACGAAGGGCGAAACCGGCCGTGGGCTGTCAGCAACCGTGTGAGTAGTTTCCTTTATGAAAATATCCGAACTTACTTTCTCCTCCTTCAATTGCGTCATTTTTATGCTTGAGTCCAACTCAAAATCAACCTTCAATGAAGTTCACTCAACAAACAGCTGAATGAGTCCATACACCAACAGTTATCATTCATTCAGCACAATCACAGAGTTGCTTGTCCTACGTAAGAAGTTCACTTACGTTACTACTCAGAGTTGGAGCGCGATGGCTTAAGTGGTTAGAGCGCGAATTTACTGACCGGAAGGTCCGTGGTTCGAACCCGACCACTGCCTCTCGACTTCCCCTGTCTAGGCTCGGGCAACCTGACAGTGTCTCAGCCCTTGTGCTTTCTTCTGGTGACATGGCAGCTAGGCACCAAAAGGGTGTTACAGCTGAACGACTACTCAGCCCAGCTCACGCCGCGTTTGCTTTTTTTCTGATCAATCTAGAAATGACTCATCAAGGAATAGTCTTGAGCGGACTTCTCCAGCTTCTGTGAAAGGTCTGATGGAGTTCACGGTAAGTGCTTACCCATCGTCAGCCATACTACATCTTTTCTTCTCCTCCTCCTCATCTTCCAGCTTCATTGGCTTGGCTCTTCTTCTACCTCTTGACCTCCCTCCCACAGCACTCTTATATGAGTCCGTTCGTCCTTCGAAAGACGCTCGAGACTGTACTGCAACGCGAGGGTGGCGAGTGTTTCCGTCTTGTGCGCACGCCCAAACAAACCTTGCTCTTTCGACACGAACATCTTCTCTGGAATCTGGTTTGGTACACCCATCGACTGGGCTTGCCGACGAACCTACTGGATGTGTTCCCTGTGTGGCTGATGGATCGACAAGCTGAACAGCAGCTGTGCTTAGCCTCCGGGGCTTCTATGAGTCCGCGACGTATTGAAACAACGAACAAAATTCCCGATGCTTTACTGGTAAGTTTTATCCGATGCCTACCCCGTTTCACGCTGATGGAAAAGCAGGGTCGGTTCGGACCCGATTAGGCATTCCACCCCGCCCCGCCCCCCGATGCTCACTTTGGTTAGCTACAATGGAAACGTTTAAAGGGTCATATTGTTGAGGTTCCCGATACGGAACTTTGAGTGACGCGTAGGTTCGACAATTCCGAATATCAAAAGGAAGAATTGGGTTCGTAATTCTGCAGTACCATTTACGCAAGGGTAAGCAAATGTGTACAAAAAACCTCAATTGTTCACGTTCGTAGCGTCAATAAGCTCATAGGTCTGTCACTCACCGGCACAGTGCAGTGCCAACATCCGCAAACCTAACAACGGTGAGTGGAATGATGGTTCAGTAGCGTGGATTTCGGTCGTCCCTTCCGACGACGGTCTCGTGGTTCTCATCGGACGTGGGATCACACTGAACTCATGAGGAAACAAGTCAAGGTCGACTCAGCAAACGGGGCATGAACACACATGGGTAAGTAGGTCAGCAGCGCACATTCACACACAGACACATATCAATCCACAAGTGTCGGAAAGGACGGCCTCTTCGGCAAGGCGAGTGACGGATACGAATAAGCAAAACAACTGGAGATCAAAAGTACATAGACGGAGTAAGCAAATGAATGGGGGAATTATCATGAGGTCGAGTTAGATTCAACATATGTGGTGTGTAGGTTTCCATGCGGAGAGTCTAGTCACTTGGCGTTAAGAAGGGTTTTCACACCCTCAGTGGCTGTTCTGGACTCTGGATTTAAGTATTACAGGCTTTGTCGTACTTGCTATCGGTCTGATTGATTATCACGTCCGTCATCTTTGGTGACAGTGCGCGGTAACAGATTACGGACCAGTGACAGGCTTTGAAGAACAGCCGCTCATCCGTTAGCTGGATCACTTAGACACTTGTGTAGCTCTCTTTTAGCTGTTTCAGCGCCCAAAATTCACCTAGTCATGCGGCGAAAACAGGGTCCCAGTCACCCTGTAACTTATTGAGCACCTACTCAAGAGTCAACCCAACCCGGATTGCTGTATGAACACGCGAAACAGTAAGCACTCGCGATCTACCGAGCTTCCAAAAACGGTCCCCCTAGGGAAGCGGAGCAAATTATCTCGTTTTTGTGATGAGTCAGCATATTTTGTGAAAATTGCGTAGGAGAGAATGGGGAACAGCTAATCAGCGTACCAGTTTCGACGACAATTGATGTTGCCGTCAAACCAGAGGCTTCATGTGCTCTTAACTATGTGGCTCTCGTGACCTACTCAACAACCGAGCGGAACCACATTTGAATCTCCCTAGCACCCTTCTCCACATTCACAAAAAATATGGAACGAAGGTCAAACAGTGACTTGGCAACGAAGTGTGAGAACAATTACCAGCAAACTCAGCTGCATGGCTCATTGCCGTCTCCCTGGATGAGGACGTTGAGACGGGACACATCATTGGCTAGAGATATTATCAGTCGCGCTCTCAAAGGGGCTCATGCATCTGAGCTATTTCCTCCAATGGAAAGTCGTGTGATGCGCCTGTATTTACTCGTCAATGGTATTAGCTACCGCCTCAAATATGCAGCTATATACCCCCAGATTATCGATGAACGAAATTGCGGCAGGTATACTTACTGTACGACAAGTACGCGGTTTTTTACAGTTGATAGTGACGGTATTGTAGACCCACTCAATTACTAACAGAACTCCGTTTTCTCATCTCATGTTTGGTGAATACAACTCAATAAGAAATTCATTAAAATCGTTACTTTTTGCATATAAATCTGAGCAGAGCAATGGTATCACTCGCCTATATGAAGACGTGCCTTGTAATGTCTTCACCGGTCAACTTTTCCATACTTCTCATCCACACCGTTTGCTCTGATCGCATTCGTCCTGTCACCTCGTGTTATTCCGTTTTTCCTACAGCAAGTCAAACTTTCCCCAGATCTACCTGTTCGAATCTCGTTACGTTGGAATGCCTATCAATCCGCACGCAGTATGGCCAGTAAGCCGTTGTACAAACAGTGGCTTCGTCGTAAATCAGGTATGTCCCGAAACTTTGGACGCATTATGTCGCCCCGATTTATTGTCCTGTTGTTCACACTGAGATCTTTACTCACTAATTTTACAGAATACCGATCCCATTGCATGCTCATCCAAGGTAGTCCATCGACCAGTCCAGTCTATACCCCATCCAACCTAAATTTGAGTGCTTCTTCAAAGTGCCCCGCTGAAGCAACCATGGCTCGCGTGGTGGACGCTATTCGACAGTCCAAAATGGCGAATGCCTTTGATTCGCTCGTCCAATTCCGTGCTTCGATTGCCCATCAGAAACCAATGTCTACGGTCATTTGCAACCAGTCCCCTTCTCAGCCGTCAGGATTGATACTACCAACAGTTCCTTCGCCGCCTCTGACTCAGCTGACTGGATCGGCTGAGCAGAAGCAGGTGAATAATACACGATCTGAGTGCACAGAGACACATCGCTGCGCCTGGTGTCTGGAGGGATCTTTGTATAGAGAACTGCTATTTTTGACCATAACCGCCCTACCTCCTGCCCACATTGATTTAGGTGAGTTTGTATCCGCTGCTTGCTGTGTTCCTGCTCTTTTAAATCGAATGGAAGCTCGTCCGACAGCCAGTTGACTGCTACATTTTGTTTAGGGCTCATCAAGTAGGTTATAGTACTCAAAATCGATGATTGTACGTCTTTTCCTTATTCCCGAACGAACTGGTCACCAGTTCAAAATCATCTGATGCATCCTAGCTCTGGTTCTTGGAACTCCCAAGCCTTTTACATCCGGTTCATTACACCAAAGGGCAGTGAGTGCACACCGATAAGATTCAGTCTATGACCCACAGAAACCTTCGATTAAATTGACTCGCTCAAAACGAAGGGAAATTGGTTCTTTTGTTGTGCAGAATTAGGATCCATTCACTACATTTGGGTCCAATTAGTTATCTAGTTGTCCTCCTGCTCTACGGTCGGGCTGGGGCAGGATGCCAATCATCTAGAGATTAAGGTTTTTGATGCGCTTTTGTTCCCTGCTTTTTTTACTTCAACTAAGGTTTGTGCCTTAACGGCAAGGCTGAGTACAGACACTCGCGAGAGAGAGGCTGGTCCCTCGGGACAGTCCGTCAGTCGTGATGTATTCTTCAACCCCTCGGGAGGGGGACCCAACCCCCGGATTTCATAATGGTCTTTCTTCGAACATCACATAATCGAACACGTTTTGTCCACTACGGGTCGGCTTGGAAAAAGTTCACCACTCGGGTCTCGTGATTTGTATACATATGTGCTTTGGAATTCGAAAAACCGTCTAAGAAGTCGCTAGTTCCCCCCCACCCCCCCCACCCCGCCTCCTGAAAAGGAGCAGTGATTGGCATATCACATTTGTGTGCCACCACGCATCCTTCAGCTGCGGATTATTACCTCACGCTTGCTTGGTTTGCTCCGTCACGTCCGATCACACCAGTTGTTTGTTCCCAGATAGGTGCTGCAGACCATCTCGATCTGTTGGTTGTTTGTCGAACAACAACTGTCTCTCACAGCCATTCATCATCATCATCGACAGCATGATATCAGTGTTCAGCACCGATGCTTCACCGCCATGATTTATTTGAAAGCCTTATTGTTCCGAGGTGCGTACACCTCCAGACATTCACTCAGGCAATCTGGATAAAAACTAACAACAAGAATGCCACTGACATCGGTTGGCAGCCATATCTTGTAGTGTCTGCAACCAGACACAGTGAGGATCACGTGGTCTTCATGGATAGAAACTGACAGCAAGAACGCCACTGACATCGGTTGGCAACCATATCTTGTAGTGTCTCCAAACTGGCACAGTGAGGATCACGTGGTCCCCATCCTGGAAAGCGAGTAGCACTGACAGCACCCAAGCGTTTCGTGATCTCCTTCATACTCCTCTGCCAAGTCAAGGGTTGACCACCTCTCTGTTTACGCCGCTCTGGATTGGGCATGGAAAACAGCACTGTCTTCAATAAACGATGGTTCGGTATACGTAACACATGTCCAAAACAACGTAGCTTTTGGTGCTGGACACTTTCTTCAATGGAAGTACCAGTTGCACAACCGAAAACGCGCGTTCTAACTGCCTTATTAGGGATTCGCCGACACCGAACCACACCAACTGTGGTTCTGAGACAACGATTGTCGAACACCTGAAGATGTCTCAGTTCCGCTGCTCAAATAGGCCAAGTCTCACAGCCATACAACAAAACAGCCCGTACTGTAGCTTGATACACATGTCCCTTCAGATTCAGGGATAAACCACTCTGACGTCATATGTCTCTCAAGTTAGCAAACGCGGCCCGAGCCTTGCAGATTCGTGCATTCATCTCATCTGTCACACTATAATCAGAACCAATACAACTTCCAAGATAAGTAAAACGCTCCACATTTCCAGTACCCCTACCTGGATCGTAAGTGGCGTGTTCAGTGACTGTACGTCCACGAGCATGACCTAACAGTTTGTAGGTGCAAAGTGCATACGGCCATTCAAATCACTAATACTCAAAACCGACCACAATCTGGAGTCAAGTGATACACCTGAGTAGACTCAGTGACTTGATTCAGCACCGAAATTTCCGTCGGTAGTTCGCTGTTTCAGTGTGGTAACAAAAAAAACGTTTCAATGAGCGAACGATTCGGTTCATGATCGTTCTTTCTTTGAAAAGTGCACATTGAGGTCGTTCAGAGAATTTTTTTAAGTACCCATGTGTTTTGTATTTTGTCTACTGATCAAAGGAAGAAGGCCTTCGCTGCGGAGTTATTTATTAGAAAATGCCAACTGAACAGTCACAGACTGTTGGACAGTGAAGCAAAACTCTCATATGCATCTTGTTTACAAAAACTGAATATTCATCTTCTCTTTGAACGCGTCTTCTTGGACTTTCCTGGATATTCAGTGACTGTTGCTCAAATCCAAGCAACTGCTACAAAGCGACTCCACAAATTCCGAAATATATCTCACTTTTCAAGGGACGCAAAGTGGATTTACGGGGAAACCTACTACTCACATGCCCCCCACATCAGTAGTATCACCGTTACACTGATAGATAAACCGTGCTTTCGGGTAGGAGTATACCCTACAAAGGATACCGTATCTCTCTCAAAACTGGAAAACTACAGCCTACATATTCTTTGCTCTTTTTTGGGTTTCCTCCCTTGGGGAGACCATTGCAGATGAATTTCGTACAGTCTATGTAGTTGGGAGTGTAGCCACCATATGTGTCAGAACTATTCACTTTCAACCCTCTGTGTGTGTGCGCGCGTGTGTGTGCTTGTAGGCGTGAATTGTGCGATCCGAACATCATCACTGGACTTGCTGATCACCCACAAATTGTCATGTGCATTTTTTGTATTCCACCTTTTGTGCACCATGCTCGTTTTACCCCTCACTGGCCTAGATCGGATACCGCAGAAGTTTCGGGTAACGTGTATGCGACTGAACAAAAAGATTGTTGACGAAACGGAGCAGTTGCTTCCGGGTCGCACTGGAGCTTTGAATCAATGGCTTTGATGTGGCAGGTGATTGTGATCTATGGTTTCCCGGTTCGCCTCTACTTGAGACCTTTCAGTTGAACACCATCCTGGGGTTTCGAGACGACCAGTTTTCTTCATGAATGAGGGTTTCTTTGTCCACTACCACTTATGTGTTGGTAGTGGATGTTCCACGGTGTCTTTCGTGTTCATAGTCATGTTGACGCTCTTTTACGTAAGGCACAACACACGGGATACTGCAAAATGTCACTGCAGATTTAAGCGTATCGTAGGACGAGTAATGAAAATGGGTGGGTGATTTTGCTCCGTTTGGAACGCGTCCAGTCTACGAAACCTGGGAAATTCAATTCCCAAACTGAGCAGTAATGTTATTTCAAGTTTATTCTTGAGATGGCTCACATAATTGTTAAAAAAACTGGAAGCAATTGACAACTGTATTCAGTATATTACGCAGTATATTTTCCCAAATGAACACACTACTCATAAGGTTGCCGAAAACTTTTCGTCAAGCTTTGATTAGGATCATGAAATACCAGTTTATCTCCAAGACGAGCACTGGTGCAAAGTTGGAGACTTGTTTACAACTTGGAACAGCGTTTCTCTTAGCAGCATATGCCTTGCTCGGATGCCGCAACTAGTCGAGAAACAAGACTTTTTGATGCGCACTGTTTAGAAACGTTTATGTCGAACTTCACAGTTTCTGATTTGTTTTGTTTCACCCCTCCCCCTTTTTCTAGTGCAATTCGACGATTTGTACAACCACTCTTATCAGCACTATCGATCCAAGGGGAATCCGCTGGTTCATGATTCCGATCGACCGCCAAACTACGTGGCGGCGGCTTGTCGCCAAATGCTACGTTCCCTTACCTTGGTCCCCTGAACTGTGTTACACCTGGCCTATTTATCACACACTATTTTCGCTGTTTATGATTAGCTGCCTAAATCATTACCCTGGAAAACGGCTGTGACACGAGTTGCTCCAATCGCTCTGTCTCGTCTGATTATACACACACACACACACACACACACTTCTCGTTTATTTCCACGTGTACTGTGCCTCCCAACTACTGCATTCCGTTTGTATCTTTCTCGTTCGTTAGTAAATCATGTATACATTCCCCTTGACCCATCTGGGGTGCCTCCGTAGAACGGGGCCATTCATTTGCTCTAACTATTCAGTCACCGCGTCACCCTACATAGACTCTCTGTGACTGACCAGCGCACACTATCGATGTTTCACCGTACGCGGAATCCGCCATCTTTCGCACCCCCACCCCCCAGTTCTCATTCGCCCGCTGCACACAATTTTTGGTTCCTCTGTTCTTGGTTTTCCTGATCGTCTGTTTGTGTATCATCACCCCTATCTGAGTTTTTTTTTCGGGTTCGTTATTTTCCCGGAAACGTTCCTTGAGCATTTATTATGATCATAGCGGCTAATTTTCACTTGATTTCATGTCGTGTTTTTGCACATACCTCATGGGGATGAGTGAACCAGAAGGAATGTCGCTGGACACCCAGTTTTAGAGTCCATTTTGTCTGTCGAGCACAGCAATTTCAGGGTTGTGGTTCTGCGAGTCATCTTTGGCCGAGCCAACCGCACGGACAGTCAGGAACAGGTGATCACCATCGAGTTAGGATGGTGTGTTCATGATCGGTTTCGGGTTTGGGTAGTTGGCTAATGGTTATTTGATCGGTTTCGGGTTTGGGTAGTTGGCTAGTAGTCATCAGCACGTTTGTCTACATGTACAGTACCTCCCTGGAAGAAACGCTCCTTAGAAGTGCCGAAACGTGCCCTCGTGACTATTTAGAACCGTGCCTTACGCCTGCATCGGGCGAGTGTAACTGTAGTTATAACCGGATAGCTTTTGAGGGTAAGTAATGATGTACTTCAGACCGTGTAGGATGTGAACCTACTGACCGGAACGTCCCTAGTTCGAACCCAACCCTGGCATTTCGACTGATCTGTCTAAATCTGGGCAACCTGGCAGTGTCTCAGCCTTCGTTCTTCCTGCAGATGGCAGCTGGGCACTGGAAGGATGTTACAGCTGAACAATCATATTATTAAAAACACTAATGACGTAGTGTTGTAGGGGGGCTGCTATGTTTCGGTTCACTGATCGATTCGCAGTGTTTCTATCACGTGCGGATCAAGCTGTCAATAAGATTTCCGCTGCATTGCGCGTGCACAAACTTTTCTAAATGTGTTTGGCGGAGTTCCAACCGTGTTGTTTCATGCATTTTCGAAAGTCCATCTTGGACAGATGCGATATCAATTGCGCGTTGTTTGCGACAGACGCGTGGTCATTTGCAGACCATGCGTAAGTAAACGAGCCGATCACATTCAGATAGTCTGAATCAAGTGTACCGTACGCGCTTAATGCAGAGGGGAGGTTTGGTTTTCGGTTTCATCTGGTGTCATAGTGATTGTGTGGTTAGCATCGACATAGAACCGTAAGTGTAGGAGAATTAATTGAACCCGGCTCCACACGGTTGTGTTTTCCCGAGGTCTGTTCGACCAGGGCTGCATGTACTCATTGGCCCACAATTTGGATATCCGTTCAATCCGAGTAACTGCGTTTCATACTCTGGTTCCATTCAAAGAGTTTCGCTGTCATGACTTTCCGTCTGCCATCTGTATAAAGTGGCCAATCGAATTTCGTCTTTTCGAGGTTCATGATTCACTTCGAAGATAGGTTTTTGTAGAGCAAAGGAGACTTATTTTTCGGTACCAGCCGAAGTTAAAGGGACAGTGTAATCGGTCATGAATCCAAATCTTTGTAGACGAGGTCATCGAACTTACTATCAATCGATTTATGGGAGAGGACATCATTAACTGGGCACTGATGATTTTATTGTCCAGCTGTTTCTTGTCCTAACCGTATAATCCGATGAGAGGCCTCCAAGTATCTCCAACTGTATACGTAATAGAATTGTCTTAAGGTTAACTAAGGCAAACTTATGGCGTTCACCTCTTGAGTTCGGTAGAAGATCCCAGTCTACCCTACAATGACCGGGTAAAGGTCGAATACCACAGCCTGGTTCGAAAGGAGGCCTTTTTGGATAGTGAACACCCTACTGAGAGTCATTTGGTGCCATCGCATGCCGAAGATTGTGAGGATGACAGACCATCACAGATCGTATCTTCACGAGTCCCATATTTAAAATTCTCCACCAGAATTTTTAGCGGATGCCCTGAAACGATCTAGGTTACCAGGCGAGCTAGATAGCTTTTGCGCCGTCTGTGATTTGTTTTTTTCTCGCTTTTCTGAGTAAATTCACAAATTTATCCCAGTAGCAGCTTGGAATTTGCTGGTGATAAGAATCTTCAAGATTTTGCATAACAACCCTAAGGTTGTGGTGTTCGCCTCCGTTGCAAGACCAGTACAACTTGTTGACTGAACGTTTAATAACCCACTTTTAGTCAGCTATTAACCCCATAATAGCCATTTTCTACATAAACTAAGGTTTTATTCTTGAAAGGGACTGTTGCCGTTTCCGTCCATATGGACTGATATAGTCTCCTGACAATTGATCAGCTGGCATCTGATCTGTTTGATGAGCTTGGCAATTTAGACAAAATTGATCTCCCAATAAGAATCACCCGCCTACGGTAGAGAGCGTTAATTTGAGGCCGACTGTTTTGATCATCATTACTGTGGATCCACAGCACTAGAAGAATGATCATATTATTCCAGGGGGCACAGTTTCACATCTGGATGGGCTTGATTTCGTGGGGACATGGTTCGGTGAGAGAAACAGAAGTAATAAGTCAAGTGGAACATAGGCTTGACGGAAACTTGGGGGATGCACCCACCTGATGAACACAAGAAAAGTACGAAGCTGATCGTGAGCTGTCAAAGGGCCATCAGCTTACGCCTAGATAAACCAGCTAATTTAGATTAACTCACGTGAAACCTAACTGTTCGGCCACAGGCGGCTGATCAGCAGTGTGATTGGCTCTCACTTAGACAGGACAGCGCCGCTGGTCCCTTGGTCAGTGGATCCACATCGAATTTTTAAAAGCTATGACGTGTTCTTTTGGACAAAAAGAGACAAGCAACCGAGTTCGGAGTACGAGTCCAAACTTTTGAGCCCCATCTAGGCATTCCGGGGTATCGGCGATGCTAGGAATGTATTCCACCTGACTTTTTCCTCCAGAGGTATGATTTCTTCAGTGAACAATTAAATTCAATGGGCTGCAAAAGTGTGAATGTATATCGGGATGATTTTTGGCTTGAGCACACACGCAACAAAATGCAACATTTTGACGTGGAAAATTTTATTTTACTCGCAAAATTTTTGCAGCTAAAAGGATTATATTGCTAATGGTCCCTCGCTGAGGCCTCGTGGCCTTGAGCTGTTGGGCTTATGGCTAGGTTCAGTAAAAGTGTAAGTGAGGATGATGAAGCGAATTGGTTAACAATGCGGATAAATGGTAGCAGGTAACTCAGAATTATGCTGTACAGTGAAACTGTGGATACTCACTGATGTCGCTGTTATGGTGGAGTTGGATATGAACACTCATCAATAGACTGAGTTGGTGAATGTACACAAACCGGAAGGCAAAATGTACAGAAAATTATTGACTTTTTGAGGAACAAGGATTGGAGGTTCACCGGAATCTTTAGATCCGAACAAGAGGTTCAGCAAGTTTGAATAAACGCGTCTTGTAGGCGGCTGGTACCAGTTGAAAAGTTTGTTAGTATTTGCAGTTAACTGAAAGATTGGGCAAGGGAGTACAGTCAAGAGTAGGAAGAGGATAGTTACGAGTGTACTATAAAAATGGGTATGGCACGCTCATAGCTGTTTGTTTAAGTGACCAAACACCGCCGGTTCGTACGTCGTTACAGTCAATCAGATAAAGCACTAGATCAAACTGCGATGAGTCGCCATGTCCTCAAAACGAGGGGTGACATCTGAATTACTTCCAGTGTAAATTCCACCCAGATGGTTATTTCACTAACAATCGGATCTGCCATAGTCGTCAGACCTAACAAGTCAGATGAATTTGTTCACCCAATTCGAAACGACACTGTTGTTTGGGAGGCCCGCCATATGTCAAGTGTAGCACTAATCACTTGCTTGACTACTTCATCAGAGTGCGCCATTCGGAGAAGCGTGGCAACTGCGTTTCAAAAATGGTATTCAAAAGGGTTGAAACGCGGTCTTTGGATGCAGTGCCATCTTATTCATGACGAATGTCTTGACGAAGCACTTCCCTTCATCCTTGAACAAGGCGAATGGCTCACGAAAATGTGCAAAATGCTCGCTTTTGTCGAAAGCGACCGTCCCATCCCCATGCCATTGGTGAAAATTAATATATGTCGTATGAACCCAACGTGTAAAAACTAGATACCTTAGAAAATTTTCCCAAGACCACCCGCATCGTGCGTAACACCAACATTCGCGATTTCTGGAAAACGTCGAACGGGACCCATTTTCTGTGGGATAAAATGGGCGACAAAATGACCCATTCGCGATTTCTGGAAAACGTCGAACGGGACCCACTTTCTGTGTGATAATAGGCGACTAAAATGACCCCCATCAACACAAGGTTACATTTACGGATTTTTCCTGGGCGGACGACAAGTCATACAGGCAATCAAGAAAAGGGTGAGTATTGACCTAATTAACGATGAAGTTTGGCATTTGATGCGTTAGTTGTAGATATCTCGGATGGTCGGAATCCCTCTAAAGTCATCTGTAACGTATTATCGAACCTTCGACGACGGACTCCTGCACTTCAGAATTGAACTGCATTCCCTTATTAACTCGCATTTCAGGTGTCGTTTGACAAGGAGCCTGCCAAAGGCCAAGTTTATATTTGGACGGATGCGCCCTGGTGGTAGGTCACTATCGGGGAGTCACCATGCCAGTGAATGTAGAAATTTGCCGGGCACCTAAAACACTGTGTGCTGTGCGTTGCACAAAAAAATTACCACAGCTACCGACTACGGCGAATTTCACGGCCTTGTCTTGGGACATAGTGGTGGCGCAGAAATTCAGTGGAATCCGTTCTTACCTAGACCGAAAGCTCAACACATCTGGATAATTTTGATATCAGAAGTTAGTAGCATTCGTTATTGCTTATCAGACCTGAGCTTATTCTAGAACTTACGGAGAGGGTTTTGGCCCACACATTGAGTATTACATCATTTCAGACCTTCCGATGAGATCTAGAAGCCCATATAACAGGAGAGTTTAGATTGTATATTATGAAACGGTTTTCACACTAATCACTTAACAGCGAACTACTGGAACTATGTCACCATCCGAAACCAACTCCAGGCTGGATAAGTAACAGTGTCTCTGCCTTTGATGTATATGGGGAACGGATGCCGCCAGTAGGGGAACAATGGTTTAGGCCGAGCTACAAACTCGGCACATTACTGATCGCTGAAATTGGGAGGTTTTTGCTTATTGCTTTAGC